CTGAAGGCCTGAGAATGCTACAGGAGTGGGAGGAAGATCTTGGGGTACACCAAGCTCCCCAGGAATGTCAGAGCCTGACAAAAAGTTTTGCAACACCTGTTTCTGTGTTTGAGGCTTTCCACAGTGCTGGGAAACTGGGCTAATCCCAGAGTAGGGCAGGAAGCTCACAGATATCATCTCACAGGACCCTTTCCTTCAGAGCAGGAAGGCTGCTCTGGAGGTGTGGCTGGAGGACTTGCACAACAGAACCACAGCTTCCAAATCCCTAACATGGTGAAAGCATTGGCAAGTCATCTACTGCTTGCGACAGGGCTGGGGCAGGGAGAAGGCAGCGTCAGATTCTAGCACCCCACGCACGGCGTGCTGTGGCCCTGCTTTTGGGACCCGCTGCCCACAAGAAAACGCTCAAAGCCCTGTGGTTTTTCCTTGGACCATCCAGCTGACTTACATCCTCACAGAAGTCCCAGCTCTGACTGGCGTAAATGTTCTTGGACGCTCCAAACCTGAACAAGAAGGGGAGGACACACAATCAGCTTTACTCCATCAGCCTCAGGGCAGGGCCAGAGGAGTTCATGCCTCATGAGAAAGGGGATGAAAAAGGGCAGGGACCAAGGGAGCTCAGTGCTAAAGAAGCAGGCATGACCCCAGCCCCGCCTGAGCAGAGAGGGGTTTGCTGGCTCCACCTGTTCCAAAATAGCCAAGCCTGTTTGCTTTGGAACGATAAGACAGCAGGAGAAACAAGCCGAGCGTCTTGCTCTCAATGCAAATCTCTATTGACCATATGCACTTTCGACAATGTTCAGTGGTGCCATGCACCCCGTGAGTGCAAAATAAAAACTTTCTGGGAGGGATCAGGGGACGGTTTAAAGCTTCTGTGTAGAACTCGGGCATCAACTCTCTTGGCTTTGGAGCTACTGAGAGAACTATTTCCGCGTCTTTCTCTCCACCCTTAAAAACAAGAGGGTAACACGTTCTTCCCAGATACTTCGTGAAGAGCAACTGAGATTGCATGGGCTTGCCTGTAGAAGGGAGAGTTCCTGCTCTTGCAGGGAACCATCTTATGGACGTGGAGTATTTCTGCAACACATGTCCCAAGCTCCCTGTCTTTCTGCAGAAGTACAACGTAACCAGCAACAAAAGACCCCACCTGTAAAAAACTGTAGCCAGGGCTTTAGCCACGGCTGGAGGATCTTTCTTCTGCAGAGGAACAGCTTCAATCCACTTAGTGAAGTAGTCGGTCACAGTGAGGACATGCGTATTGCTCTGGCTTGTCTCAGGAAAAGGTCCTGCATAAACAATCAAGAAAAATCAATACAATGCTGTAATATCACCAAAATGAGGAAGGTAATAACCCAGCCCAGCAAAACGATCACTGCAAAAAGGAAAATGACCACAATCCTGCTCTGCAATGTCATTTGGCCGGTACATTTCCGTGACATTTGTCAGCAAAAATACACCCATCAGTCCCAATTCTGGGAAGCAACGCACGCTCACAGGTCATAGAGAGGAAGCGGAGCCAATCACATGGATCAGGTTGCACCTCAGTAGGCTGCTAGGGCCTCGGGTGCTTCCTCGTCACAGACGTAGGCAGCTTTCGCTCACAGGCTGCTTTGTGTCTGCCACGCTTCCTGACGGCTGGTGTGGAAGCCTTGAAGAGCCTGTTTGTCAGCTGCAAACCCTCACCGTGAATGTCTAATCCCAGCACTTCCCAGGGTGATTCCACTTTGACAGGCCTTGCTTTCCGTGATACATTCTTGTTGTGCTCTGCGTTTTGGCACGTTTCACACGTTTTGATCTGGAACGGGAAAAACAAAGATCATATTAAAAGACTTTAAAATACGCTGACAAATTCTAACAGATTCAGTCTGTATGGGTTATGAATAGATGAGTGGGGCAGTACACCTGGGCCCCTTCCCTGTACCCAAAAAGAACAGAGGGAAATGGAAGAAATGGGACAAAATGCAATAGGCTGACACAGCTCAACCTCACCTGACGGCTTTCTCAGACACAATAACCAATTTTCTCATTGTGGCCTAGAGCTAAGACATTTCTCATCTTGCTTTTTGGCAAACATTTAGTGTATTTAAACACTCAGGCTGGAGCCAAGGGGAATTAGTAACAGAGCTCTGGGAAAGGCTAAATTATCTAAAGGAAGGAGAACAAGTCACATGAGGAGAAATATCACAAAAGAGATTAAGAGGTTAAAGAGCAGCCATTACTAGACCCTGAAGGCTAAGTTCTGGGACTGAACTTACTGATTATCTTAACAACCTTAGCACAAAAAGAAGAAGTACAAAGGCGAAGTTTATTGAAGACAAAAATTGGGAAGTGTGACCAAACGACGCAAGTAAGAACACGACAAAGAATAGTTTTACAAAGCGTAAAGTGACATGCATGAGGAGCAAACAACACACTTCTGCTACTAGCTAGAAAATCATCAGCCCTGGGATACTGGAGGGGCAAGAGCTGCTCGGACCATGCAGTGTAACCCCCCCCATCTTCAAACCACGCTGTGCCACAGAGCCCTGCTGCAGGGGACCTTTGGCAATACAACAGGTGAGGCAGAAGCAGCCAAAGAGAGCTGGTGGAAACATCGAGCTCCTCCTCCCACTACAACAGTCTAGGAAAGTTGGCTCAATTCTGGCAGGAATCCAGCGTGGCCAAAGCTAGACCCAACCACGCTCATCTGAAACAATCCCACGCTCCCATGCCGGCCAAGCCTGCCCTGCATGAGGAGGCCTACCTGTGCAGGTTTCCTGACGCTCAGGGGAAAGACATCCAATCTATCCAGTTGCCTCAGGCCGTTCCAACAGTTTCACCTGCAGAGTTACTTAGTGCGTGGCTTCAAAGCAACAGGCACTAGAAACGACATCATCCCTGCATTAGGGCTCTTTTAGCTGCTCATTTGGGACTCCTGCCTGAACATCCCGGGAAATGCTTCTGACATTGACACTGTCAATGCTGTAAACTTACCCAGTCCACAACATCCTTCACAATCCCCAGCCAGTAGTACCGGCTCTGAATCCTGTGCACGGTCTTCTTCTGGCCCAGGTGGTTCCCAATTTCAGTGAAATGGCTTTCCAAAAAGACTTGCCGCCTCCGTTCGGGATCCACAATCACCTCGCGCTTTTCTTCCTTCTTGGGTCCAACATAGTAGAGGCAGCCACCTGCAGAGGTGAGAGAGTTATCAACCGAGCCATTGCTCCACAGCACGCCACTGGGCTCAAGCCACTCTGCAGAAGTTTATCTAAAACAACACGCTCTCACAGGCTTTTGAGCTATCCAGAGTGAGGTAAGGGGCCATTTTCCACAGTAGGAAAAACAGGTGAGAGACAATGAAGTAGGACTGTTGCCTTGGGAGCTTCTGCAGTACCTTTGGAGAAGCAGCTAAAAGGGAATTATCCCCAAAGAAACCCAAGAACCTCTTACCTGCACCCAGGACTAAGCAAAACCATCTGGTAAAACAAGGCCACCCTGGTCTCCAGAGGCCAGTTACGGTCTACCTTGCTGTGCACTGGTGTTACTCCAGCTCACTGCGACCTCCAGGCTGTGCACCAAAGGCACGAACAGGGCCGGAGGGAGGCAGCTGGTACCAGCAAAGGTACCTCCCAGGGCTCCCCCTCTGCAGAGGGGGGAGAGGCCTCCTTGTGGG